TACTGCAGCAAGATGCACCATCTTGCTGAACTGGTCAACGAACACAAGAATACTATTATTCTTGTGAGTGTCTTCGGGTTTCCCGAAGATGAAGTCCATGGAAAGAGACTGCCAGCACTCTGCCGGGACCGGTAGAGGCTGTAATGGTGCACGGGATGAGGGACTATACTTCACCCGTTGACAAACCTCGCAAGCACGAATGTACTTGCGCAAAAACTGATACCGGCGAGGCCAGCAAAAGGCAAGGCTTACCGTAAGATACGTCATTTCCCGAGTATGATGACCACCTATTGCGGCATTGTGACACTTATATATGATGCGCAAGCGCAAATTGTTATGAGCGGGGACGACGACACGGGTCGTGTTTTTTTCGACGACGGCTGTATAATATAGCAACCCGTTGCGTGTTGTTTACCGATCTGATGAGTATCAGTACAAAGCCGGTAAATCTTTCAAAGATTTACGAGATCGATTCACCAGATGATCCATCAATCGCAGAATATCTTTATCTTCTGCGTAGGCCTTTATTACTTCGTCAAGAAAGGATGAAGACGGTACACTGACCGTAAGTGTGGCAACAGTGGGACTAACATCACTGTTGGATTGCGCACCCGGCTCTAAATCGGGCCGGAGCGAGAGCGCATCAACGACGATGTTGATTTGTCCTGGTATATACTCGACGGAGAAGTTATACTCCGCGAAGAAAGACAGCCACCTCGCCATTCTTTGCGAGAGGTGCGGGCTGTTTACGGCCAGTGTAGTGACGCATGGTCCGTGTAGACAACAAACGGTATATCTCCCAAGGTATAGACGCGAAACTTAGCGAGTGCGTACTTCATGGCAAGTAGTTCCTAGTCATGCACTGGTTAATTGCGATCAGCTGCTTGCAGCTGACGCGATTGGTAGCAGCTGACGCGCTCCGCACCATCTCTGTCAAATTGCGTCAACGCGCATCCGATCGCAAAATCTCTGCCGTCACAGACCACGTGAAATGACCTTTCCTGATATGCAATCGCCAGTATGGGCGATTGCATGAAGATCTGCTTGATACCTTCAAATGAACGCTGATAGTCATCGTTTCATGACCACTTCACATTTTGCTTGAGTAAACAAGAAATATGCACAGTCATCTCGGCGTATTTGCGCTAGTACTTGTGCAAGTACGCCGCTAGCCCAAGGAACTTCCGCAGTCCCTTGACGTCGACTGGCACGGGCCAGTCGGTGATCGTCTTGATCTTTTCGGGATCAGGGCGTATGCCGTGTTTCCCCACGATGCACCCAAGAAGTGGTATTTCGCTAGCCGCGAATATACACTTCTTGAGGTTTACGTACAACTTATGCTTGTGCATAAGTTGAAGAAGCTGACGAACGTGTCATCTGTGAGCTTCCGCGTCCGTCCTTCCGTCCATAGACCGGCTATGGACGGACACATCGTTGAAGTAACTCGGTGCCAAATCCCGCACCGGTCTCAACATATTTGTGACACATCTGTTGAATGTTGCAGGGGCGTTACTCATCCCCTGTTGCATCACTAGTCACTTCCACAACATACCGCTGGGGGTGCTCACTTCTGTGTACGGTATGTACTGTTCACGCATCAGGATCTGATAGAATCCATCCATAAGATCCATGGACGAGAAGATGGTACTCTTTGACATACCATCTATGATTACGTCCTTCCTCGGTATCGGCGTCTGAGCCGGTACCGTTGCAGCATTCAACTTGTTGAAAGCGTGCACTATCCGCCACCCTCCTGTGGCCTTTCGCACACAGAAGGTCGGAGAGCTGTGAGGGGATGTTGATTCCCTCACATGGCCCGCTGCTAAGCGATCGGCAAAGAACTTGTCGATCGCTATCACTTGTTCACGAGGCAGTGGCCACTGCTTCATGACACAGTATTTCGAGCCCGGTTTGAGCTCGATCTCGTGTCGAGTGCCTTTGTCCTTAGGCAACTCGCAAGGTACGGATTCAGGAAATACGTCCTTGAATTCGATCAAATCCTCATACAAAGGATTTGCCTAGAGTGACTCCCAGGATTGAGACGTGTATCGCTCAATCTGAGTCTTCCCATCGAGGACGCTTTCGTTTATCGATAAGCTGCTGAGAACCAGTTCGTTCTTAGCAAATACTGTCGCCGACCAAAATTTCGCCCACATACCCATCCTCTGTGACGAGTATGCAGATCTGCTTGACTTTTACACTACGACGATCACGTAAGAATCGTTTCAGTTCTAGCGTTGGCAACTGAGTTATCTCCAAAGTTAACTTCGGAGGCAAAATCAGATCAAGCGTATAAGCGCCTACACTTGATCCGTCATTGACCAAGACGTTCAACGTCTCGGTTTCTTCCTGGTAACTTTCTTCCACAGGTTGCTGAGGGCCTAATCCCTCAGCAAGCGACTCTTGAGGAATTCCTTCCTCAAGTACGTGGGGACTTATTCCCTCGACGTCTTCCGACTGTGGCTGTGAAACCTCAGTCAGGGTCTGCTCCTCTACGGTCGATTATTCAGCCGACCTAGGATGACCGTGTTTACCTTTGGTGGCAACAGGTTTCTTTTTTCTTGGATGGTGCTCGCTAGGCATAAATCCATGTCCCGGTCCACTCGACTTATTTCAGTGGTGGACCTTCGGCGCTGCCTGTACTTCTGTACAGCCACCGGGAGCTTGCTCCACAGTGTAGTGGTCAACTACACTGAGGTATTGTGCAGTCGTGCTAACGACCGTACCGCAAGTGAGCCCATCGTACTCACTCGCAGTACATCCACACGCATGTGGACGCTTCATGTCGTTCATCAGATGGCCATCTGATGAACAAGCAGCATTCATCTTCACGTAACGATGATGTCAGCTTACTCTTGGATCGTACCTTCTGAGCCATTAAAATCCCTGGATGACATCAAGTTTGTCATCCAGATACAGTACGATGAAGTCATCATCGTACTGTTCGACCTCTAACGTGTAATGGATTCCCACTACACCTTTCTTAACGGTAATCGATGCGCCTGTTGCAAGGCGCACCTTCATCCTCGTGAGGGGGATATTGCGCTCAACGAACTTGAGCCTACGACACTCTAGTGACTGGCGACGAACGATTGTGTATCTGGAGCAACTTTCGTCAAGAGATTTGCAAATTCTCTTGAGATTGCTGGATCAGTAGGGCGCTTTGCCCCTACTGACCCCGACCATTTTTTTATGGTTTGCTTCGCTGTTGCAGTTTCGTAACAGCGTTGGACCTACGCCCATTGACGTGTTTGTCAAATGACCGATCATCTTGATCAGTACTGCTCGGTACTGGGCGTGGGGCACTACACTCGTAAGCGTAGTGTCCCAGGTCATGACAGCTATTGCACTTTTGCAATCGCTTGTTGTTCGTAGAGCGAGGTCTCTCGATTTCAACATAACAGAGGTCCATGGGTTCTGGACGTCCAGTCTCTTGTCGTCTCGGTGGACGATAAGGGATCGAGCTAGCATGAGCCAGTCTCATGCTAAAGTCTTCCTGTTCCGCAGCTGCGATTGCTTGTTCGAGCGTATCCAGCTCTAAACGGAACAGGTGGTTCTAGACGGGTGCGTCTGAGAGGCCTTGCACGAACGCAGTGATCAACGTGTGTTCGTGTACTGGATTAGTAGTTATGATACTCGAGAGGAGTCGCATATACTGAGCATAAGCGTGCACATCATGCTTACCCTGCTTGAGTTTCAGGAGCTCTGATCGAGCCCTCAAATCAGCCCGTGGAGGTTCAAATGTTTGTTTGAGACGGGTTCTAAAGGGTCCGAGCGACTCAAAAGCGTATGGGTCGCTCATCTCCAGCCCTAAGGCCCGAGTCTTGGTACGTCCCGCCAAATGGTATTGAGAAAATGTGAGTTTCATTTGCTCATCTTCGATGCGACGTAACTTAATGGCTCTGTCTAATTCGACGAACCATAACAGCAGGGAGTCTTCCTTGACTCGTCTGTACTTGGAGTTGACAACCTTCAAGATTTCGGAACGACGCGTGTGTGTCGTCCCGCCCACAGCAGCATTGGATTGCTGCTGTCTCAACAGCTCTGTCTGTTGAGCACCTAGTTCTCTCAACTCGTGACCTGTTGAGAGCCATGATGGTGAAGCAAGGCTACCTTTCTCTCTTTCGGCGACAAGTTCATTTTGAATGAATCTGGCTATAGCTGTATGTTGTTGGTCCCTGTAAAGGGACTCCAACATGACGCTAATGGCGGTTTCGCCGATGGTAGCACTCATCCGTTTTACCGCCCTCCATTCGATGTCACTAAAATTGCCAAAGCCTTCACGCGTGGCGTGAAAGCTCTCCTCCTCATCCAACATGTTCATGTCGGATGTGGTGGTTATGGTCGCTGGACGGACTACAAAGGGCTGTCAGGTGTAACGGGCACGCCTTGTGTCAATTCAACACAAGGTTGCGTGCACCCGACGTCGCGACACGTGGCGAGGAAGCGCAGCGAAGTAGGCAGAACTCGAAAGCTCTGTATGAGGGAAGAGTAGAACTGTATTATTGTAGTTAAGACTTCCTAATAAACCATCTTTATCTTTACCTAACTATATTAAACTACCATCTCCTATGTGGGTCTTTTGCTCACCACCCCTTGCGCTCTTCCAGCAGCGATTTGTGGTTAATCTGGTTGATGTACCGTGAACATCAACCATCAGGTCGAGCAACCCATCAAAAAAATATTACCCTCGGAAGTAATATTCATCTAAATTTAACCCTAAAGAGCAATGTCAATTGAACATCATCTAAATGGATAATGTTCAAAAATTGATACAAAGAAATCAATTTTTATGTAACGGGCTCACTTCATTACATACAAAAAGTCAGATCGACATCCACTCGGGCATATTGACGTCATTTCGACGCACTTTTGACGCGTCGTAGCAGGCACCTGAATCTCGCAAAAGCAGAAGCTACAATCGAGACGACGGTCAAGAGATGACTGGTCCAGCGTTGACACCGTCCTGCGATTCATCCCGACTCGCATAGATCCTTCCGTCACGTCGGGCTCGAAGCCGCAACTCCGGGCTTAAGTTGCGGCTGAGCCACGCCACGAGACTGAGCATAGTTGAGGAATTGTTCCTTTGTCACTGTATCCATTTCAACGAGCAAAAGCCACCACGATTCACCAACGGAAAGCGCAAGCTTCGAGCCCTCCTCTCGCAACAGCTTGACGTAGCGAAGCCATTGCACCGCCGAATGTTTCACCCCTACAAGCGATATCTTCAGGTTAATGTTCAACATCTTGGCGACTTTCTTCGGCTGCCACCCCAACGCCTTCCACTTCATAGCCATCAGCATACCGGAAGCGTCGTCGTCCGGCTTATACAAGAGCTCTTCGGCAACTTTGTTGTACATGAACGCGACCATTGCGCGATGGTCTTCCTCGTAGACGTATCCGAGCGATGTGAGTCGCTCGAACACCGTTTCTGCTGGCTGCCCTTCCTTAAACGCCTGGTATACGGCGTGTAGGGTAAATAGCCCACCAGATTCTTTTCGATACCAGCTAACATGCTTCATCCATGTCTGGAGGTGTGCAGGGCTGACTTACCCATTACCATCGATGCCGATTGCTCGAGCAGCCTGAAGGGGTGTAACCTCCTGCATTTGCCACGACTCGAGAAGGCGTTCGATTGCGAAAGACTGGTCAGACCACCAGCCCGAAAGGCCCTTATACACCCGTTCTAGTGTCTTTGACAAAGGCGCAGACCCCACTCGCTCTTCCCTGTTGCGGTCAGACCGCGACAACGACGAGTCATTCGACTGCAAATTTTGACCGGAAGTCGATGCGATTTGGTCCATAGCTGTGCTATAAGACCGCAAAAGACATGGCGAGTCTGACGGATTGTCATCAGGGCGGGACATATTCCCCGCGCTGTGCGTCGCAACAGCCGATTGATGGCCGTCGCGAATTGATAGGGTACTTCCACTGGAAAGGGTGCCGGACGCCACGAGCAGAAAGCAGAGATTACGCATGTTACTCACTAGTCGGGTGATTGATAACCAGTAAATTTGAACATTGAGAAAGGGAGTTCGTGCTTTTGATTGACAACAGTGAGTAAACGATCCACATGAGCCTAATCATAGACGCGGGATTGGGTCTCGACTTTTTTGTGCGGGGTGTAGAAACGCACCAGACAGTCACGACTATAGAAATGTGCACCGCAAGATATGAATGTAAAATAATGAGCCACATGATATGCAAGAAAAATAATAAACCTTTGATGTATACGACCGTATGGGTGGATATTTACAAGCTTGGGATCGTTCATGAATTTGTACGTATATTTTATCCAATTTCTCTCTTTTCTCAATGTTAGAAATTGCTCATTTGCATCGGTCGACAGGCGCTTTACGTGAGCGAAAAGGCGGGTTGACATTGCAGTGCGATCTGAAAGTGTTGTCAGCCATTCGATCGGTTGTATAACCACGTACCTGCTGCTTCTCTTTTGTCCAGATCTTTCTGCTTTGGTATTGTCGCAATGTGCAGCCATCGTCTTATTGGTGTGGTGTCCTTTAAAGTGAGACATCGCCGTGTCAAATGGTACGCAGGCGTTGATGTGATAAAGGTCCATGGAACGACATAAGGCAGCGTAGGACGACGAATCGAAAATCATCAACAAGAGGCGACTAGAAAGTGAAAAGCTGACATAATTATTTTGGCACTGTTGCAGATAGTCGCCCATGGAACGGGGCATGCCTTGTGTCAGTTTGACACAAGGTTGTGTGCACCCGAAGTCACGTACACGTGGTGAGGAAGCGCAGCGAAGTAGGCAGAACTCGAAAGCTCTGTATGAGGGAAGAGTAGAACTGTATTATTATAGTTAATACTTCCTAATAAACCATCTTTATCTTGACCTAACTATATTAAACTACCATCTCCTATGTGGGTCTTTTGCTCACCACCCCTTGCGCTCTTCCAGCAGCGATTTGTGGTTAATCTGGTTGATGTAATCACATCGACCAAAAGTGGAACACCCAAGAATACTATCCTCAGAGGTAATATTCCGCCAACATCACCTCTTCTCAAGTGATGTTGATTGAGTATTATCTAAATAGATAAGACCCGAAAATTGAGACATTGGTATCAATTTTATGTAACGGGCTCACCCGGTTGCTGCCCATGGACACACAAGGTGGATTGAACGGTAACACGCCATGCTGAGAGATCGTTATGGTCGCTACAAGAAAGGAGGCTGCCGGTGGCAAGGATGATGTTCTTGTGGATCTCGATATTGCAGTGTAGATTATGTGGAGATGGACGCACTATTGCTAGTGCAGTGGAGTACGTAATGCAAACAAGCATAGCAGCTCGGACCTCTGGATCTACGTCGAGCATTTATCACAAACGGATGATATGTCAGAACACCACATTCGTCACGTTCCTCTTCCGCAACCACATTGCTTAGTGATGACCGCGCGGTAAGATTGAATCAATCTCTGGCCGAAACACCAGCGCGTCGACAGATCTTGCGTTGTCGAAGTAATCAATGTATCCAAAGACTAAATTAGCACCACCAAACTGCCGGAAATGCTTTCCATTGCGATAGGCTTATACTATAGCATAAATATTATCTAAAATATCAATACTCTTACATGAGACCCCTTGCATGTGCATGTTCGGCCGAAAGTACACATCTGTGATGTTTTTTTGTCACACAGTTATCGATGCATTCCTCTTTTTTCGCATCTTATAGTGCACTTTTGCTACCAATTATCGAGTGCACTTTTTGTCCTAACTTGCAGTGCACTTTTACTTTCATGAGTATCTAGTGCCTTTTTACTTTCCCTTTTCTTGTGCACTTGCTCATGCACCACGTGCACTTTAACATGTAAGAGGTGAGAGCCGGACGCACGATGCACCAACGCGATCTTCCGATGTGTGAAGAAATCATTCGGGAGCAAATCCAGAAACCAGCAGTAGATTCGTGCAAAGGTCCTGAAACCAGCACCAGTTCTTAGACGGGCCAACATAGAGTACGACAGATGTTAAATACACCATTTTTAACTGCCTGATTAAATAAAACTGCGTGATTGGGTAATATACTTTCTATTTTAATCGAGCCGTTGAATGATCTCATTGGGCAGACTTTATTCGGCAAATAAAAGGCGCTTTGTTCATTTTGCGACGAACGAGCTCATGCGTTGAAGGTCGGAGGTCTCTGTGTTGGCAATCTATCTTTTCTGGAAGCCTAACAGCGATGTAAAGGTAAGAGACGTGGTGTTTATTTATCAGTAGCTGATTAGAGAGTGGGTGTCGAGTCAATCTTTATTTCTGTGCACGTGACAATGCAGGGGACGCGGCGTGCGATAAGCAGACGAAAGAGAACCTACCGGACAGTGTGTAGGTACGAAAGTCGACGATTTCTACAATTATATATGTTTTAACACGATTTTATGGGATGTATATTGCTGTTTGTGTAATGCCTGCACCTTGGAATAGGTTGGACGTTATCAAGATCATAACTATCTCTCGTTTGGTACTTTTCAGGTCGAATGCGAATTGTTGGCGCCAGTTCTGATGTACGTATGGAGTATTTCTGACGTCTTTACGCTTTGTTTTACTATAAGGGATCGGATACAAGGGCTTTGCAAGTCGCGTAACAAGGTCAAGGTGTAAAATCGCGCCATAAAGGCGCGATTTGTGATTGCCAAGCACAGAGTGAACCCCCTGATGCACAATGTACGTGAAAGAAGCATGTATGATGCTTCATGATCTATGTGAGTGATGTCCCGCAGGTGCAGGTAGAAGGAAGTGTATTTTAGAGGTCTAAAAGATGACACACGTTATGTTTTAAGCACTTTGTTTACAGTAAATGTTAGCAATGAGAGTTAAAAAACAAATAATATATAGCAAGCGTGTTTAAAGCAAAGTGTTGTTGTATTTATTTGTTATAAAAGCTATGCACAGTACGTATAATTAAGTATAAAGGCAACAGATCCACGCGGGTGGCATTCATTCGAGGTGGTGTCGGACATCACTGTATTCGTCACGAATACTGGGGCTGGATGTACAGACCTTCTCGGGTCACTTAAGTCAATTGACTTTGCTTCAAATGTTTGTTCATTTGTTCCATAACAGTCGCATGGCGTCGACATGTTAACTTGTTGTGTCCCTCTTGAAAGCAGTAGCGGCATTTGTAAGTAGCTCCAGACTTCGAATCCCCAACGCTACCGAAACGTCTTTTTTGTCGTCGTCCAGTTTTTTTTATAAAACAATGGCGAATTATCCTTCACTTGTGGTGTTCTAATGTTGACAACCAATTTAATCGACTTATCGAGGAAACCTTGCTCAAACGTTTTGACCAAATATGCAGGATGAAAAGATGCTGTTATGTCGATTGTAGATCCATTAGCATGCAATACGGCAACAAGGTGTCGGCAAGGCAATCTCATTTGCACAAAAGTTGAACAAGAGCAACTTAAAGCCTCAACATCAATGCGCCGATATTTTGCGTAGCCTTGTTTTGAGGCAAACCATATAGTGGAGTTCGACCGCACAACTTCATATCCACCTGCAGCTGCTTGTTCTTTTTTACAAAAAGACCTCGCACGAGGGGTCACAGTAAGTTTCTTTGTTCTCATTGTTTAATTTGATCTTGACGCATGCAAAATTTTCATAGTCGCCTGTGTTAAGATTTTCAATGCTTCGAGAGGCGATGCGTCACGAATTCCATGAACGAGCATGGTGTTGTTATTGCTTTCGACAAAGTTAGTGGTGCGCCACCCAAAAAGAGAACATGGTATCATTGGTAAAGATAGATGATATTGGTGATACGTGCATGAGACCGAATTTGTGCTTGACATCGTGAACTTTCTGACAGATAAATTTTCGTCAATAATTTCCATTTGCATATTCGCAAATACAGTCCAATAAATGGGACCGATTTTCTTGATGTATGTGGCAACATCATTTCCAAACTTTATTCGCACCTTTGTAAGAGCAGCGTTGTATTCGAACTCGGATTCTGCTGCTTGAATTTTCCACACAACGGCTCCTGGCACCCTCCCGTGAAAAGTGCTGTCGATTCGGGCCAGATCGGACGCGCATCACGCTCGTTTGTCTGAAGGGGCGAGCAGTCAGTGGGACGGCAACGACTAGTTCATATCATGCCATCACACGTTTCCTGACCATCCCGCTGTTTTTGATCTGAGGATGGATACACTAGCCGCTTTCTGGGGCCGCTTTCACTGGGATGGCAATTCTTGGATTCAAGGGCCAGACGGCAAGACCCTCGAGCGGTCTTATAATACCCGGACACCTTCATGTTCAGCATTCTCGAATCCAGATCCAGAACATCCAAAATTCCGTTTGATTTTGCGCAAAATATGCAAAGTACAGAATCGAATCTGGAGGATGATACCTGTCGTTGCGTATACATCTTTCACGGAATCTTGTATCTTCCCACGATCAGACATTATCGCGACATTCACTAAATTAATTCCAGCATTAATACACTGAATGCAAAACCATAAAATGTTGTCCTTGTTCTCCACATTTACGAATGCAGTAGCCAACGTAATGTTTTGTCAATTTCCGTCTCGACCAATGAGAGAGAGTATCACGCCATTTAATTTGTGATGTCGTGAATGCGTTCCATCGAATCCAACCACCGGAACATTATACTGTTGGCTGTTTACAGACACTCCAAAGGCCACAAACAAGCAGAAAAATCAATTCTCTTGGTCCACTTCGAGCGCCACAGTGCTGGATACGTTCAAGCGCTTTAATTCAATCAAATGTGGAGCTAAAAGCTCAAAAGACGACTTCCACTCGCCTTTCATATCACCAATTACCGCTTCTTTGGCTTCGTAAGTCTTAATTCGATAATTTTGAAGGTTAGATCCATCACGAACGCGGACTAGAGCCACAATTGCCTTGCGCTCGATGCCCTTGTCACCTCGAACCGCAGCACTAAAAGTAGGAAAAAGCTTGATTTGACGTGCTGAAGGCTTGGCAGTCGCAAGGCATACATCCGAGTGAACATCGACAAGCGTCGAAATGTAGTGCTCAGAAGATGCACCCTTCCGCTGTCGCCTCGTCACGCGGACTTCCCACGGGTACCCGTCTTGTGGGCACACATACGTTTTGCTTTCACCACTGCATCTCTTGACCTTGCACTGTCGATTTTGGTTAAAACAGTAGTCCTGTATAAACACAGTTGCAGCAGCGCCCGTCTGGAAAATTTGTTCCTTCGACAGTACATTGGTACCGTAAATTTCTTCCATGTCAATCATCGTCATTTTGGGGGAAACCAAGGTGTATTATTTTATGTGTCTACATAATAAACTTGACTAGGACACCGCACATAAAAATAATGTGGTCCAAATTATTAAATATGTGGTCCACACTTAATAAATGTGTGGTCCACATTATGGACTGTGTGGTAAATATTTATAAACTATGTGGACCACATTAATAAACTGTGTGGTCCACATCTGTCATACTCTATGTTGGCCCGTCTCAGAACTGGTGCTGGTTTCAGGACTTTTACACAAATCTACTGCTGGTTTCTGGATTTGTTCATCATTCGGTCCCGCATACGAAGATACCATGGTCATCAATAGAAAAAGGTCAAGCGGCTAAGTCGTCTTGGGGCCAAGTTTCTGACCTTTTATCTCGTCAATTGTGAAGGCAGGTACGATCGTGGTCCCCATTGAGCAATCAAAGGCCGATGCGACTGGGCACATCGACGTACATGCACGACATTCACGACCTGTTCTTGTGAAAAGAGTAGGTACATAGCAGCTCAGGCATAATATGGCACGCAGACGACCAGAGCACGCACTTCGATCAGCACTGCAGCCGTTATCAACTTACTCAGTCTTTCCATTGTCGCAGGACAGGAGGTGTCTCACATAAGCTGATCTTACCTCACACCGATTATTTGCGGACCACATGGACAAATGCACTGAGAGCCTGGAACGAACCGAGAGCGAGTGTGCGCAATACATGGAGGGTCTCAGAGACATTTGAGGTATTTGAGGTCTGAGGTAGAACGGCCAGGACACTCGTAGGCCCGTACACGTAAGATGCAGCGTATCGGTGATACCAGGGGGGATTTGCCGTCGAGCACACCCACTTGCAACAAAGTTTGGCGATTCAGCAGAAAGCGCTCTGCGTTCCCTTCGGCTGTCTCATGATGCAACTGAACAATACGTGCCCCAAAGCGTCAAGACGTAATGATAGATACACTGTGCTCGTGTCTGTGGCGTGTCGTAGTCATGTATGACACCACGCACGACGATGGAGAGCTTCTGAGGTCCGCACCGCACTCACCATGACCGTCCTAACGTGCTCTTATCCTGTATCTGCTCAAATCCATCCTATCCTACCACACCGACCTACAACCCTCACCTCGACACACCCTGCGCAACCCCCCCGTCTGTCCTCTTTTGGTAAGTGACCAGATCTAGCACCTTCCAGACTCCAGTCCACCCACTCCCTCCGCCCACGTCCGCCACCTCCGCCCGCTCATGGAGCGACTCGAGCGCTGGGTACAAGACGCGTTCGCGCCCGTCGTGCTCACGTGCGCCACGTCAGAGGCCGAGCGCCTCGTGCAGAAGAACGGCCTGTCGCCCGCCGACCTCTTCAACGGCTTCTCGCGCCTCGAAGACGCCGATACACCGCTGCGCTCCGTGACGCATCCGGTGCAACTCGCGCGCTGGACGTTCCGCTTCCTCGCGGCCGCGGCGCTCCGCGTGTCGGGCCCGCAAGAAGCCTCTGCGCTCCTGAACGACAGTGTCGAGAGGTGTCCGCCGCGCCACAGCGCCGCGTCGGCCGTCGCGCTCAATGTCCCGCGACTCGCGAGGACCGAAGACGTGGCGACGTACCTGCGCGTGACTGGCCTCGACACGGACGAAGAGGAGAGAGAGGCCGAAGACGAAGAGGAGAGAGAGGACACGTGCAGTCTGCCGTGGTACCAGTCGTTCAAGCAGACGCTCATGGACACGTTTCGCTGTGAAGAGTACAGTCTGCTGAGTCACCCCGTGGCGATGCTGGTCGTCCTTAGCTCGACGGACGCGAACCCACGTCACTGTCTCGAAGAGCTCGTGGCGCCGCGGCACCTGCCTGCACCGTTCCAGCAAGGCCTGTACGATGCGGCGCTGGTGCCCAAGTTTTACGTGGTGCTGCACGATGTGCAGGAGACGGACGGCACGTCGATTGATCCGGACGGGATCTTGGCCAGTGTGAACGTCACGACGGCCAATGGAGCTGTGCTGCGGATCAACTCGGTGCCGGTGGCAACTGCCGTCGTGCCGTCGCCGTTTGCGACACGGTGGACGGAGAATCCGTACGTGAGACCACTGCTGTCTCGTCGTGAGAGTGGGACTCAGCTGCAAGTGAGCGACGGAGTGGGCGCGTTGCTGTCGGGGGAGGACGTAGCACAGATCCAGGCGTTTGTACGGGAGTTTGGCCTGCGCTTCATGGTATCGTCGCTCGAACGACGGATCGTGCAGCTGAATGAAGTGGTGTCGGCCATGAAAAAAGGCGTGAAGAACGTTTTCAAGTCGTGGCTGCGCAAACCCAAGGACTTGCGCTCGTCGAGTGCCTCGACGTCGGGAAGCGTCACTTACAAGTACGACTCGATTGAGTCGCAGACCCGCCTTCTTGCCGACACTGCATTTCTGGTACGAGACTACGACTTGGCTCTGCAAATGTACCGCTTGGTGCGTGAAGACTTCAAATCGGACAAGTCCATGTTCCATTGCGCCAATGCCAATGAGATGCTTGCCCTCTGCCTGCTTCTGACGAAGGGATCGCCGATGCAAATGACAAATGCTCTTGAGTCGGCCATGTCAATTTACGCCAAAACGCTCTCTCCATTGACCCAGCGTCTATCTGTTCGTGCGGCGGTCATTGCTGGTGAGATCTACCACACGCTAAGCAAGTCCGGTCTGTTTACAGACTACATGTATCATGCATCGGCTGCCCTGGTCCGTGGCTCAACGGTGGAGCAAGGCATTTGCGCGGCAGTTCTCATGGAGCGTGCAGCGCTGTGTGATCTTCGCGCGCGACAGCCGAAATTTCGCAAGTACGGGTTCAGAATGGTTATGGCTGGTCACGCGTATAGTTCCCTCGGGCACGAGCAGCATTCTGCGAGATGCTACTCTTTGGCGCGCGCAGTATACGACTGCAGTGGCTGGTATCTTGTCGAAGACCATATCAACTTTATGCTCGCGCAGCAAGCAAACAAGACAGGCGATCGCATGGCCTCCATCAATCTATTCCTCAAGCTCATCGGCACGGGTCGGAACTCTGCAAGTCAGCAAGAAGCGATGCTGTACGACTTCGGTGTGATGGTGAAGGACTTTCTGTCGTTAGGAGGGGCTGACGCGCCCCCATCTCCATGTGCTCCGGGCAGGCCGATACTGACAATAAATAGTGGCGGCACGAAGACACTTCTCGTGAAGGATTTATGCATGCCCGAGCTGGACGACTCGTCGACCGTTGTGTTCGCCTCGACCAACGCGTTCGGTGTTGACCGGTCCATTGATGGCAATGTAGCTGAAGCGGAAATGTGGCAAGAGCTTGAGGAAATTATCGACAAGCAGAATCGACTGCACCAATATGTCACGTCGTGCAAGACCAACGAAGCAAAGAGCTGGTTTGTATCTTCGCACGTGTATGCTGGCTATCGCGGCAAAAGGGATGCTGCACCCGAGAGACCGCAAAACCATGTCGTGGGAGAACAAATCTACGTCGAGTTTGTGATGAAAAATGCGCTTTCGTGTGCAGTGGACGTCAAAGAAGTTCATTTGTATGGAAAATTCGAGACCCACGACGACAACCGAGAAGTATTTGATGTTCCCGAGAAGAAAGAGCTTGGTAGTCAACGTGTTGTGGTCGACAGTGTGAACCTTCAACTTTTGCCGTGCAGTGAGGAACGCGTCCGCGTTGCAGTATGCCCGAACATTTGTGGCAAGCTAAGTCTGACAGGCATCCGATGGTCAATATGCGGAGGGGACGTCCAGGGCGAGCACGCCTTCGACATCCCTGGCCCGCTGCTGCAAGATACTAGAGCGCACCGAGAAGCCCGAGCTCGAGCACCGAACATGAGTCTCATCGCTACGGTTGTTAAGTCTATGCCATGGCTCGGTGTAAAAATTGAAGGCATGCCTGCCGAAGCTTTTGTTGGCGAGCTCATAAACCTCGATATCGTACTCGTCAACTCGGGCACGGCAGCTCTATCTGGTCTCCAGGTTTGCTGCACTGACCTGCTGATATGCGTGTCGGAAACGGGCGCCGCAAACAATTTGTGTGGATATATTGGAGCTAGCGGTCACGTCGCCGATTTGAGTGACGTGGTATTGGCGCCCGGCGAAACAAGGAAAGTCACGATGTGGGCACGAGGACTTACGCCTGGGCGACGCGATGCGGCCCTCTTGTTTAAATACGCGACTTTGTCCGACGTAGGTACAGTGGGTGCGAACTCGACGCTGACACGTACAGTGAGAGTGAAGCTTGATCTGGACTTCTTGCCGTGCGTCGATGTGTCTTACTCCGTCGAACCAAGCTTTGGTGCCAGCAACGAATACATCATTGGTATCACCGTGTCAAACCAGCGGGAAGATTACAGCGAAGTGAGTAGGCCTCTGGATGGAGAAGTTCGACTGGAGGAGCTGCATTTTGTAAGTGAGTCCTGGACGATTGAGACCTTGGCACGTCCACATTATCAGAAAACTACGGAGGTGCGTGATTCACTAAGTTTGGGGTTTCTCGAAGCTAGCACGAGCTACTTTCGCGTAATTCCGCGGCCGAGTACTTCTACAGGTACATTTGCATCGTGCAAGCTAGCTCTCCATGCAGCGCGCAGCGGTGTCGATTTGTCTTTAGCATTGCCGATTGAGCAATTTCTGTGTTCGGAGAATGCTGCGGACCTCGTTCGCACTGGTCGTGCTGGAAAAAGTGATGGCTCAGGAAGTAAAGGAAAGCGCGGTGGTGGCTTTCGAACGATCCAAAGTGTGCGACGAGAGAATAAGGCAATGAAAAATGCGGCTGCTGACGATGACAGCGACAGGAAGATACAGCAAAACTTTCAGCCGACGTCGAGAGATGCACTGCTGTCTGAGCTCCACACGGATGGACATCTTGTGCTTGTGTGGTCGACTGGGAGCACCTCACCGTTCAGCAACAACTCTGCTGGGGTATCTTCTCGTCAAGCAATAGGTCAAACTAATCTGACGGCAGTGCAAGTCCGGCCGCCACTTCAGAACAGCTCATGTCCGCTGACTGTCACGCTCTGTTACGAGAACTCTGTAGACCTGAAGTGCACAAAGCATCATGGATTAACAGCAGCGTTAAGCATTGCGGAATTAGATATCGCAATGCGCGTGTGCAACGCCTCATCGCCTGGTTCAGCTCCACTTGATGTCACCATCGAGATGCTACACCCCGAAGAAGCCCAGGCATCGCCTGCCACTGTTGCATCATTGACGAAGCTACACGCAATCGATTCTGGGGCACCTTCACTGCGTAGCGCACCGCGTTTTTTCTGGACGGGCGTTGCCAAGAAGAAGTTGGCGCGCTTTTCGCCCAACAGCCACGTAACGATTAACCTAAAGGCTTGCTTTGTCGAGCCAGGCGTCTACAATCTCAACCGGTTTCGATTCATTGTGCGATCTGCCCTACCAAACGGGCAGTCGGCAGGTACATATGTGATCCCCGCAGAGTATCTCGTATACGTGAGAGACCCGCAGCGAGTGTCAGCTGCGCTTTCGCAAACACAATCCAAGCAGACGATCGATAGTCTACTTGCACCGTTTGACATGCTTGCGGTCTAAGTTGCGTCCAGCGGCTCAGAATGACGGAAGCGAGTGTGCGATCGTAACAAGAGGTTAAAGATAGTGTACGTGCTTTACGGGTGAATAAACGTGCGTGAGAGCTAAGCCGTCGATTGCTGTGCTGCCATCAATCGTTCGTACTTCTGCTCGATACGGCGAACCTCTTCGTCGTCTGAATCAAACTCCGGAGTCTCGCTCAAGAACTTGATACGAGGCACGCAGAAACTGTGGAAATCCAACGATGGTGTTGTGAAACAACCACCGTGGTGGTCGACAAAGCCTCCAACCTTTCGGAGATAGGAGTCCGGAGGCAACAGGCGCTCCACAGGATTCGCGCCGCTATCGTCGCTATATCCTGCAGGCCCCGCTCCGCTTTTGCCGACAATGCTGAACGCTTCTTCGTCTAAGTCGCCGTCGAGTCTGCCAACATACAAATCTCGCGCACCGGTGCTGCTGTCGGCGCCGTCACGTGCATCAAATTCCTTTTCACTCGATTTCTCCACTTTGACGTTGGTGTTGTCAACTCGAACTACCGCCGTATTAGTATCGTTTGCGTTCGTATCAGAGTTCGACAACTGAGACTGATCCAAGGCTTGGGCACAACCGACTGCAGGTTCCACACCCATCGCCGTCTTCTGGCTTCGTATCGAGCCAACGACTGACGGCTGTTCGCCCATCAACGACGAGGAAAGCGACGATAAGTCAGCTCCGGAGTCGCAACTAATTGACGACAAGCTCAACGAGCTCAGCGAAAGGCCCGTATGTTCGCTGCCTTCTACATCCTTCTCGTTGTCATGAGTGCGAATCGACCAGTCGTCGAGAAATGAACCATTACTACTTCGCTGGGCAGTGCTTGGCAAGGCCGACAACTGTGAGGCGGAGCGATTGTCTTCGTGTCTGCTGGATGTACCAGTTACATTGAGGTCGTTCGCTACCGCCCCGAAGTCAGAAGTACCCGCATCAGAAACATAGCCTCCATCCACGCTTGAGCCACAATGTGTGTCTCTCTTGGCCTTGTTCTGCGCTATATCTAGACAGCGCCTCAATTGTAAAATCTGTTCTTGCATCTCGTGTAGCTGCCGCTGTTGGTTCTCCAGAATTTGCTGGTGCTGGATCGTCAGTAGCTGCTGGGTTTTGCAGCAGCTTCGATAGTTACTGGAACCCCTGTCCGCCCACTCACGCTGCGCAGCATCTTGCGTCTTGTCCGGCAGAGTCAACGAAGGGACACTTTCAGCAACTTGGTCACAAGTTGCATCACCTGACGCATTTGGCGGCGTTGCGGTATGCATTGTTGCGTCAGGCTTAGACCCAAACACGGCTGTCTGACTGCACGTTTCTTTCTGACCTCGTACCGAAGCCCGACTCTGTGCGTTCGATCCTCGAGCAGCACTCGTACGAATGATATCGGACGTAACAGTCCAACCTCTCGTCATGCTTTTGTGCTCGTCTTCATCATCATTACACAGCGAGTTACTCTCTGACGTCAACAAGGAGTTACGTGAGGTGCTGCGAGCCATTGCGTGAGGCTTGCTAGGCGCTGCACCACTTTCTTTCAGGCACAAGATCGTAGGAAGTTTCGCTTGACACGCAGCTGCTTTCCACTCATTTGTTGGCGCAGCCGACAACGTCAGCTCCAGATCCGACGAGTACTTTGGCACTCCAACAAAGCACGACCGTTGTTGCGAAAATAGCTCCAAAGGGAGAAGCCGCGTTGGGAGGGACAACGACTCGACAGGGAACGTACACTCGAAAAAGCGCGGCAGCGATCCAACGGTGCCACCAGTATCATCAGAGTGATTACGAGGATACAGCGCCACCAAAAACGTATTCGGCTCAGGTCCGACACGCTCTTTGATCGTCTCCGACATCAAGTAGCCGATGCACGCAAAATACAAAAGCGGATCAGCCAACTGCCGTCGCGCCACCTCCTCATTCCAAGCGTCGTCGACGTGGACACCGTATACCCATACACCGACGAGCGGCTGTTGTGAAACAAGAGGGTCCACCTTTAGCAGAGGTACCGCCTTCCGGGTTTGGTCAAGTGTCAGGTATCCAGATCGCAAACTTCCAGTTTCGGCGCTAAATTCGCGTTTTGATAGACTTGCCGCAAGCGGGGTCATCAGAAGTGGTAAATTTCGTATGAGCGAAAACTGGAACGGCATCGGCGACGCGGCACATTCGAGCTGGAAATCGAGCTGCGCGACATGTGGTGACGATTGAAATACCAGCAATTTACACTGAAGCTTCGAGGGGAGGCTGTCATCGTATTCATCACGATAACCGGCCTGAACAGCCGCAATGGTCGACAGGTAACTCTCCTTCGTCCGTCCCACAGCGTTCTTTACAGCAACCATGTGAACAGGTATACACCAAGTCCCTGCAGCACGTGCATCCTCCTTCTTCAGCTTCATCCCTTCCAGACGCACCCGTTTCATCTTCGGCGACGTCGCTTCTCCGTGCAAAAAGCACAACGCACCACCGCTTTTTCGTACCGTGCCACTCATTTCTCGCCACAGCTGGTAAATGTCCTTCAGCGCCTCTGCTGACACACTAAATTGCGGCAAAACCTGTGCCAACGATACACTTACTGGTGCGCCTGATAGTCGACGTCGATCCCTACATGTCCAACAACCAAAACAACACCGTAAGTTCTCGACAACAATACACAGAAATGTCCAAAAGCTCCGCTCAGGTACGTACCAGAGCACCGACCGCGTCACGGGGAACTGGACAGCATCCACACGGAGCCTCGGAGCGTGACTCGCGCGATGCGGTCGCCTACGTCTCCTTCTACCGTCTATAGAGAGACTACAGACGCTTATAGCGCCGTTTGTAAGCCCAGAAGACGGTTGTGGGACGTCCTCGTCGGTCGTGTCTGCGAAAAAAGCTGACGTCGGGAAGCGACGACACGGGGGCCTGGCGCTACCGCTGCTGCTTCGCTTACTGGCGTCAGCGACTGTAGGGAGACGTGGACGTGGATGCAGATGGCGCACGGGCGGGGAGATGGTCTGGTCGCTGTCTTGCAGCTCGTCGTCGAACTGGGCAAAGAGCCCGTGGGTGCGCATGGTGGCCGCGCACGACGGTATTGTTGTGATTGTGGTTGTGTGTGCGCGACTTTTGTCCAATACAGAGCGTTTCAGTCGTTTGTAAATAGCGCTGATTCGTGGAAATGTTTTTTTTGCAATACACTGAGTTCTAGCGAATGAACGTTGCGCAAACGTCGCGACGAGCGCGTGATGAGGATGATGATGCTGATGCGTTCTGCAGTCTTGTAATCAGTGGTAAACAAACATTCAAATACCTACTCGATCCCAGCTGCTTACTGGGCAGCAGTGACAACGAGCCCAATGGTCTCCTCGCCAATCTTCGAAATGCCACACACGTCACAGAGCGTGCCCTTGCTCTCCAAGCCGTACACCGCAGCGCAGTACGGGCAGCGCACCTCGGGCTCGCCCAAGTAGATTGGCGTGAGGCTGCGCGCGTTCAGCACAAACGGTTTCGAGTCTTGGTAGTCCACGGCATGCTCGTTGCGGGCCTCTTTTTCCGCTTTCTGAAGCACTTTGCGAGCAGTTAGACGCAGCTTCTCGTGACGAGGGTGCTGTGCAACCTCTGGGATCTCGAGCAACCGTCGGCAGAACGATGCAGCCGAGATGAAATTGCCAGCCTTGAACGCACTGGTCATCGCAATCTTCAACGTCAACACCAGATGCGGTAGCTGTAGCTCGCAGTGCGTGAAGTACGCGCTCAGCTCAATGTTGCGCTTCGGGTTACTCTCCAGTGGCACCGCAGCGACCTCAGCACGGACACGACAGGCAATCAAGTACTCACGGCATACCGTTAGCAAGCCTTTGATCTTGTCAGCTTCTTCCTTCGAGTCCACAGACAGGAATGGAATTGCGTACAAAATCGACTGGCAGTGTGCCTTGACATCGTCGAATTTGGCGCTCGTGAATGAACGGTAAGCTTGCTTCAGTTCTTCGACGAGGGCGGCGAAGGAGACCACGACCGCAGACTGGCTCGCATCGTTTCGCTGCAGCCACGCCTGCAGTGACGGACAGTTGCCCTGCGTAGGCAGGCAAGCCGATCCACCCGAAAACACCTGCAGGAACACGGCCTTCAGAGGCTCAAAGTTAATCACGCCGATCTGACGGTGCAACAGTTGCATCGCAGTCTGGAATGACCCAGCCGCAGCGTGGTCGGCCGCCAACGACGAGTTGCGCACCCATTGCACAGCAAGACTTGTGCCAACAGTAGGAGCCGCCACAAATCCTGTGTCTGTATTGGGACCAGCAAAACTGTTTTCCAGAGCAGCGGCATCCGTGGCTAGCGACTGACCATCTACTGCGTCGTCCAGGTCGAGGTCACCATCCATATCCCAAGCTTCGTCGGCACCGTCGGCGCCGTCTAGCGCCAAATCCATCGACGACTTGCGAGTAGGGCGTTCCTCCGCCGAACGATGACCCTGACTCTGTTGCTGTGGTTGCAGACTGCGCTCAGCTTCCCGCTTTTCAGCGGCAATTGCGTGGTCTTGAATCGTCGGTTCGTTGATCTCCACCAGAGCCCAGTTCTCGTTCTCTAGACGGCTCAAGGACAAAGGCGGAGACAGGAGCGTAGGGTTCGGTAGCATCTCGCGCGCTAAAAACGCATCCGTGTCAAAGTCCGGGTTCGCTTCTTGCAGCAGTCCACGCAATCGCTCAACGTGCTCAGTGAGGCCGTGAGTGGCTGCTGTCAGCAGCGCCAAACCGAACTGGCCAGCGGACTCCAGCGTCATCACGCGGACCTCCACATCGCCAAGGTACAGCGCATTGTGAAAGCGCGCCATGATATCGTTGCGCACTTCAGCGATCTTCAGCATCTTTTTTAACTTATCACGGTTGCCAGTGACCAGATAGAGAAAACTCAGGCGCTCGAAATTCTTTGTGCGCTGGTAAGCCATCTCCACAACCTGAATGTTACCTTGGCGAAGAGCTTCCACTCCCAGCTGGTACCAGCACTTGCTGTCATCCAGCTCGTAGGCCGAATTCAGTGCAACCTCTAGATTGCCGCACGAAATGGCCAGCTTGAAGCGAGTTTTCTCGTCATTGACAAAGTGCAACGCAACTTCTGGGTAGCCCTTCTTTGTCAGGTACGAGATGATGGCTTGGCCACACAGCCTCGAGTGGCGCACCATACGCATTACTTCTGTGTAGTTCTTCTTGTTTAGTGCAATCTTAAACTCGCATTCCGTGAGGTCGACGGCCATCGTGCGCATCTTGGCCTCGCGGTCGAGGCAGTAGAGCTTTGATCCTTCCAGGTGCGTCAGGTAAACAGGCACGTCCAGGGTGCGAATGATACCAGCATCTCCATTGGTCAGCGAGTACTTGATGTGATTCAGCGTGGTGTAGACGAATATCTCTGCAGGTGCATTAGCCCAGATACCGCTCTTGATGCGCACGGACTCAGTAATAGTGCACAGGTACGTGAGCTGCTTGTCCGCAAGCACGATAGAGTGTTTGCTGATTAGAGCCACGTATTCGTAGTTCGGGCTCCAAACCACGTACTTCACGCGCCAAGCTTGCACGTCAGCTAGCACACGGCGGCTCTGAGTTTCGTACAGGACCATCTTGTCGTCAATGTGTAGCAGCACGCGACCCACCACACCACCGAAATACATTCCATGTGCCGTGCCAGTGGGCGGAGTGATCTTCTTCGTCACTTCATTCTGGAAATTCTTGATTACAATGTGGCGCGACTTGTCCAGGACAGCAAAACGATTGCGGGCCACGAATACGGCAAACAGTCCCGGTCCGCGGTTAGACTCCGATGTGTCGCCGTTTGATCCCTGTGAAAACGTCACCAGCTCATACGAGCCACCCTCAGCATCGCTGGTCATTATCACGCTGCTGGTGCCTGAGTTCTGGTCGTATGGGTTGTAGGTAAGATTACGCGGCAAGTTGCCCGTGCCTGCTCCGGCAGTGCCAGTGCGACGCACAGCTGCCACAGGTACATCGGTGCTGTCCACGAACGAGTACATACGCACGTAACGCTCCTTGACGTAGTACGCACGGCCTTCGTGGATATCCATGGCGGGACGTTCACGCTCTAGCTTAAACACAATCATACCCGAGTCATGACCCGCAGCCAGCAAGTTTTGCGAAGGGTGTGCCGCAAGCATCCAGAAGCGGTCATTTTCACGACGGAAAGTCTGCAACCCCATGCGTTTCGAAATGTCCCACACACGAATCGACCGGTCTTCACTGTTAGAAATAATCAGCTCTTGACGAGGGTGGAACAACACGCACGAGATGTTGTTTGTATGTCCCCGCATCGTGTCCACTTCCCATGCCTTGGTCTCGTTCATCCTCCAGAGCTTCACCTGACGGTCATCAGCCCCCGAGACAATCAGCGGTAGCGTCGGGTGGAAACTGGCCCAGTTGACGCCGCGGTCGTGGCCTTCTAGCACGTACTTGACGATCGCATCGGTCGCTCCAAAAATGTCGTGGTTGTTTGAGCGCGACGTAGGTGGGGCCACCATGTCGTCTAAGGCAGTAGGTGCGCCGCGCACCGTCTTTTTACGGAGACCCGTGGTGTCCCAGACCCGCACGGTCTGATCCAGCGATGCCGAGACGATCAGATCGTCTTTCGGGTGAAATTGGGCGCGCATGACGTAGTGGTTGTGGCCCGTAAGGATCGACACACAGGATCGCGACTGCCAGTTCCAGATACGAATGGTCTGGTCGTCACTGCAGCTCAAGATCCACGGATACTCGTGGTGGAACTGCACCGTGCGGATATAATCCAAGTGGCCCAGCAACGTGAACAAACAGCGACGCAGCTTAAAGTCCCACACTTTGAGCTTGTAGTCATCTCCGCCTGATACGAAAAGTGGCTGCGATCGGTGAAAGTCCACGCCACGGACGGGGCCGTCGTGCTCGTCAAAACGCTCCAAGAGCGTCCCCATCCGGTAGTCCCATAACTGGATCACGCCATTGTGCAGCGACGTGAGGATCCACGGACGGCTGGCGTGGAACGCCAGTCCCTTCACGCGGTTGCTCTTGGACTCGAACTTGGTCAGCATGGCGCTTGGATGCGGCAGCGATAGTCACGTGGACGTGGCGCCGGTGCAGGTGCGCAGAAGATTTCGGAACGGGGCGTCTGCGTGGCGGGCGTCGTTGGCAGGTTGTGATTGGATGAAAAGATGCATCCGTGGCAAGCTGGCGATTGATGTCGTGGACACGAACTACCAGAGCCCTCGGGTCGTTTTTGACACGCGTGTCAAAAACAAAAGCCGTCAGTATTTGTTTACGCTTTGGATACGTCCGTAATCCACACATGTGCCGCTAGAGTTTACTTGTACGAAACGACATGTGAAATTGCTGCTGCCATACTCGCGGGTCCTTTCCGACGTACGCGCGCAATGCTCTTGACTCGACTTGAATCGCCTTCACATCGTCGTATGGCAGCAACAGCAAATGCGTCGACGTCTCGGCACGGACAGTGAATGCCACAGGCTCATCATTCAGTGACTCGCGTTCCCCAAACGTACGACCCTCTGACAGTGTGTAGGGATGCGCAGAATACACGCGTACTGTGCCGGACCTGTACCAACAATTTGCATGGATTGGAACACATCAGTTTGTGTACAGTCCGACAACCGATCAAGCCGAGAGCATACACGATGAAGTAGATTGCCGTGGGCAGCGATCCACGTGCGCTGATCACTTCACCGGCTTGAAACACTTTGGCAAACAGTGGTGTGTTGCGCTCGTCCTTGAAGCGCTCAAGCTCTGCATGCACAAGAACACCGCGGCGGGATAAGTAAGATGAAGCGATCGTGCGAATCGGACCATGAAACAAGCATTGCTACGCTTACCATCCAATATAACGCTGTCTGCCGGCCAAAAAAGCCGAGCTGCAGCAGGGGACACAGCAGCGAGAGACTCACGTTTGTATGACGCAGACGTCACGTCAACGGACATCATACAGTAGCGGTAATTGATCATCATGCCCAACGCGGACGTCAGTGCCGAGGGGGTCGTATCGGCCAGGAAGTTGACTTGCTCAACCTGGGCACCGTTTTGAAGATGAAAGTTTGCTACGGGGTCCAAGATCTTATCCCGCTTTCGCTCGAAGAGGACATAGCGAGCACAGGCAGCTGTCATAATGTCTCGAATGTTCTCCAGTAGCCCAACGTCTTTGTGCCACTCGGGATCGCTGAGCCTGTGTAAGAGCCACTTGTGCAGCCCCAGCTGATCTGCATCATATACCGACGCGAGACGCCGCGCCTGCTCTGCCGTAAAAAAGCTTCGTTGATGGGGTTCCAGCCGATGTAGTTTCAAATTCTTGGATCTCTTTGTTTTCCGAGCACTCTTGATGTCGGCCAGAGCCTCCAGCTGTTGATCGCCATTAGCAAGTGCAGCCTTGAACCATCGCGCGAAACCTGGAACGGGTGATAACGTTGCTGCCACCGAGCACTGCGGAAACATGCTGCTCATACGCTGGATGGTCAAGAACAGCAAATGGCTTGCAATGTTCAGTCCCCGAAGACCAGTGTTCGACGTTGAGACTGAGTAGAAAATGATGTGCGAGGGGTTCTTCACCACCGGAGTCTCCTGCTCAAGAATCGGATCGATACTGTTGCACAAGCCGTTCGTCACTGCCGCCTGCACGAACACCAGCGGAGCGCGGGGCATATGCATATGAAATAGACCAAAGCAGTAGCGTTGCTGTCCGACCAGTCTGCGCTGGAGATCATGCCAGCCCCGAACTTGATGCACCCGCTCGTTTTTCAGCACGAATGCAGCCAAGTCTTCCGACGACAAGTCAATGCGGTGAAAACGCATGCTGCCTTGCGTGGCGAACAAGTCCCGCATGATCAAATCCAAAAGTTCCAGCGCCTGCACACTGGCTGCCGGAAGTTCCTGCCGGTTGCGCTCGATCAGTGTGGCCAAATCGACCCTCAGGTTCAGCAAGAACAACGGGCCGGGCTGTATCGTACCGACCAACAAGAAAAATTGCTCAGCAAGTGGTACAAGCCCGCGCTTGACGCTTTTGGAAATGTTCGGATCGTTCTTGCGACTAAAGCCTAGCGCCGCTGCTGTCACGTTTAGCACCAATCCAGACCGTTTGATCGAAGGCAACGTCTTCATCATTCGAGCCAGGTCGCGCACTCCAAGATCCACTGCTAGTGCCAGCACGAGCTCCAGCTTCTGTGCCTCGGTAAACATCTTGTAGTCTTCGCACAAGCGCAGTGCAAATTCTCTGCGGTGTTTCAGACCAATCACAAAGCCGTCGCTCACGTCTGCATCTAGTAGTGCCTGCACGTAGTAGTATCGTACACACGATCACTCAAGCTCTCAGGCCACGTCCATCGGGACGCAACTATGTACCTCGATCGCTCCTGCGTACCTGGATCTGCTTCGTAAACTCGGCGCGATCGAAGCGCACCGTCTCGACGGCAGTGGCGCTGCAGCCAGGACCTTCCCGCTTCACACGTTCAGCATCTCGGTACGTCAAATGTCGCCGTACCCACTCGTCGTCTCCATGGAACGTCCGAGGCGCTGCCGTCCGCGCCGCCTGCATCGGTGTGCCGACTCGATGTTAATAAACACACTACCGCACCGTTTGATTTGTAACAGCTCCGAAAACGTTTTAATCCATGCGGATGCAAATATTACAATAACAAAGTCACAACACCGTTTGTGTTCGTATTGTGATTATTTGGCGCAAACGACCATGAGCGAGCGCAAGGGCATCTACTTTGGCGCTATTGACGCGAGCGCCAGCGACGCGCAGCGCGTCCGTCCTGACAGTGGTGTGTCACGTACGAACGCAAGCCTCGAGGCGGCTGTTCGTGCGGGTAACGTGAACGTGTCGGGCAACGTGGAGACGGAGGTGCTCGAGCTATCCGAAAGCAGTCGCGCCGCCCAGGAAAAGCACGCGCAGCTCTTACGACGCGTTGAGGCGGAGAAGCGCGCGCGGCACGTCACGGTCCCGACGATAGTGGAGGAAGTTGTGCAGCGACTGCGTCAGATTGGCGAGCCGATCACGTTGTTCGGCGAGCGACCGGCGGACCGTCGCGAGCGACTGCGCGATATTCTGTCGCGACTGGACGTGGAAGCCGAAGAGAGCGGCTATGTCCGTCAAGTATTCGGAGAAAGTGAGCAGAACGGTGTTCAGGGATATGATGCTTCTGGTGAGAGGGCTGGATCAGCTGGAGAGGCTGCTTCTGCTGCTGCCAAACTCTCGACGACACACGAGGACCAGTTGTTCTATGTACCTCTTACGAACGAGAAGCTGAAGAAGGTGCGAGCTGCTATATTTGAACATACTGTGATTGTTGTAGGAGCACGGCTGAAGCGAGAGCAGCAGGAGAAGCATATGGGTGCGGGAGAGCGAGCCCGTACTGTGGATCATCACACCGCTGAGCTCTATGCTACGGCACAAAAGATGGCAACTGTTGCCAGCCAGAACGGCGATGTGCGGCTGATTTCGGCCGTGAGGTTCTCAGCCGATGGCGGACATGTGGCCACGGGGTCATGGAGTAGTCTGGTCAAGGTCTGGGACGCAGCGAGCGCGAACGAAGTCAAAGTCTTTCGTGGGCATGAAGATCGTGTGACTGGAGTGGCGTGGCATCCGAGCAAGGCTTTTTCTGAGATGACAGATGGCGCAGATTCCGTGTGCTTGTGCAGTGGCTCAGCTGATGGAACCGCACGGCTCTGGAGTGCGGCTCGCAATGAGCCTTTGGCTGTGTTGCGAGGCCATATGGCGCGTCTGGGCAAAGTAGCGTTCCATCCGCTTGGCGACTACGTCGGCACAACAAGTTTCGATCACACATGGCGCCTATGGGACGTTGCTACAGCAAAAGAGCTGCTTTTGCAAGAAGGTCATTACACGGAAGTGTACGCCATCGCCTTCCAGAAAGACGGTGCGCTAGCAGCAACAGGCGACTTGAACGGGAACGGGCGCGTGTGGGACCTACGTTCTGGTAAGGCCATATTGCCCTTGCAAGGGCATTCCAAGCAGATTCTGTCGATGGACTTCGCTGCTAATGGTGTGCAACTTGCATCGGGCAGTGACGATCGCAGTGTTCGCATCTGGGACCTGAGACAGCAAAAGTGCTCGTACATGATCCCAGCTCACAGCAAATTGGTGAGCGATGTCCGCTTCTCGCCCGCATCGAGCGAGCTCTTGCTGAGTGCGTCATATGACTCGTCCATTAAGCTGTGGAGAACGCGTGACTGGAAACTGATGACAACAATGCGCGGACATGATGGCAAGGTCATGTCGGCCGACTTTGCTCCGGACGAGAAGCATTTGGTGTCGTGCGGCTCCGATCGAACATTCAAACTATGGGCCCACGAGGATGAGTTTTGAGGTGTCAGTCGAGTCGAGATGTGCACTCGCCTGAACGTAGGCACCACATAGAGGTTATCGGCACAATGACAAGAGGACTTAGAGCTTTGACGATTTCGAGTATGATGCGCTTGAGTTTTGTGCGGACCAGTTCGAGCTCGGTTGGACATGCTGACCAGCGACGGTGAGTTTGCCCTTGTGTTGCAATTCGCCTGTGTGCGCATCATGGTTCAGTAGCGACATTGCCAGCGTCCACAGACAGCAGGGCACCAAAAGCGCAACAACTCTTGGTGATGACAGGGTTCATTTGCCGCTTGAACGTCGGCTGACCGAGATGCTGATGTCGGGGAAGCCGTACGCAACCAGCACATTTTCCTAATGCGCGCCCAGACTCGTGTGACGTCTGCGTCAAGCCGTCTCTTAGCGTGATTGACGAAGCGCCATTGACACAATGACGGCCTCGCAGTCGCGTATGATCCGTCCGATGAAGGTCGGTTTGATCATGGGTACGGTTTGATTGCGACAACGGTCGACGTCGTTTGCGATAACTTCGTTTGCCGTGCTTCGTGTTTGCTTGTACAGGTGTCACGTCCAGACAGTTGAGCTCAAACTGAATGCCATATCGACTTTAGACGCATCCACGCATGGCCGTGTACTTCGAGTACAGTGTGCCGCTCGGCCATTCACTGCGCTTGTTCGCTGTCGGTCTGTGCGGCTGACAAGCATGTCTTTTGTCCGGCAAAGCTGCGCTCATGCCTTTTCAGCAACAGTGATTGATTCTAGGAAGTGGTCGCATCCACTCCCTCGTTGTGTTTTGTGTGCAAAGTACACCTGGACGCTTTGTCGTTCACGATCTCGGCGATGGTGAGTAAGCTGGCAACGAAGGGTATGGCTTCCGTGCAGCATTGGATGAGAAGTCAATACGTGCGCATTGCCCACCCTCCTTGTCGCTGCCACAACTTGGCTACACTCTGCTGGTGAGGACGAACCAACCAAGCATCGGATCAGGTGTGCACGTGCTTGCAAACTTTGTTGGAGGCCTGGTACAAGCAGAAAAGGCCTGTGTTGTATTCAGCATAGCAGGCCCGGCTGATCGCTCGTTGGTGCATCGGAGCAGCATTGATCCGTCTTGTTGATCTTGGCCGTCCTTGTCGAGGAGACGAATGTGCCTGCTTGATGTCCTTGCAGTCGAAGAACAGCTTTAGCTTCTTTACACGAGTTTGGGAACGCCTGGAAGTGACACTAGTTGGCAAGAGCTCTCTGCATTGCACTGCCAGTCATCATCTTGTTGGACTTGACCCTTCGACCTCGCGTCAAGCTGAGCTGATGGAGACATTGCGCTAGCGAATGCATGTCAGTGACGATGTAGCTTGGTTTATTTTGACATCAAAATCGTGATGTCAATAGCGAACGTGGATACTTCTCGACACTCCAACACGCTTCCCTCGAGAACAGGCGACCGACGAAACCGATGAGCACGGGTGCATCAACTTTACATGCGCGAACTCCTTTGTCGTCGTTGCCATTATGCTGCAGCTTCTGATGTTTGCCGTTTTTGTCTCCAGCAGCGGTTCCCAACAATCCGGTACATCTTGTCTGCGGTCATTCCAGCGACCGATGAGCCATCACTCGACCCACAAATCTCTGGATCAGCGCTGCATGATCAAAGACGCTGTGAATGATCGCGGACACAAGATCCATGCGGATGAGGGCAGCAAGACGCGAGCGTGTCTGTCGAGTTCAGTGGCGAAAAAATGTGAAATAGCAGCTCTTCATTATCAGACAAACGTCGTGGCTTTTCCGCGAATGTCAATGAGACTACATCTTGCAACCTCCGCTTGCCTGGAACACAAAGCTGAGAGAATTGGTCGCGCTGCATCGGGTAGTCCAGCGATACGATAGCACCGCGTGATAGTGCTTAGTTGCAAAACAGAAAGAAGTACGTACACTCACTGCTTCGTCATTGTTCATTCCATGGGCGAAGATCATACAACTGGGAACCCGTGATAAAGACCGAGTGTCAGGCCTACAGGACTCGCTTGACTTGGGTAGTTGTCGCTGTGGATGCTGCTACTCATGCGGCTTAGTCGCGCACATGATGTAGTTGATGTCGGTGCATGTCGGATGTATACGCCAGCTCCGGAATATTGGATCACCCACGATACCTGACACGTCCTGTACGGCAAGGCCATCTTTCCTTATTTCTGCCTCAATCTCCTCAGGTTGCACAAACTTGTTCCACTCGTGCGTTCCTGGTGGGACGACTTGCAATACGTATTCCGCAGCTCCTATAGCAAGCGCGGCTGACAGCAGAGTGCGGTTGATCGACGAGATGAACAGGAGACCACCAGGCTACGAACAATCACATCAAAATCCGCGATCTGTCAGACGCAATCCGCACACTCGACTCTACATCAAGAAGCACTAGCACAGCTGTTGCCCAAACCTTGACCAAGGGCGTGAGGGAGTGCAAGAATGCCGGCACGTCGGCCACGTGCTCGATGACTTCCAGCGAGCATACGACGTCAAATCGCTCTCCTTGCGCTACCAGGTCATCTGCAGTAAGCATGACGATACAAAAGAGCGTCACACGATTATCGGACCCCATCCTTTCAGCGGCTAGAGTACACGCTCTTGTTCACTCACCCGACGTGCAGAGACGGTAGTCGATACTGCTCGTGTGACGACTCATTGCTGCGTGCTTTCTCGCCGCCGCGATGTTGTCGTGTCCGGGATCGACCGACACCAGTGTGCCTCCAATGCGACACAATGCTTCGGACAGAATGCCGCCGCCACAGCCGATATCGGCCACGTTGAGTCCACGCAGCGGCATGGGATCGGCATCCGTCGTGCGTGCAAAGTGATCTATCACGTGGCTGCGAATGTACTTGACACGCACTGGATTCAGCTGGTGCAGGAGCCCCACGCCGGTCGTGCTTGTAGGCGCCCACCAATCGCTGCAAGAGGGACAATGGCCACGAGCGATCCGTCAAACATAACAAAGAGACGGAAGAGTGACAAGCAGAGACAACAAACGGCTGTAGAACGTACGAGGACACGGCATTGAATTTCCGCACTTCGTCTTCGACGATCGTCGATAATGGGCGAGCGCCACGCCACGAGAGCGCGCTGGGCCGTGTCAAGGCGCGTGTCAACGACATGCTCCGTCCTGCCGATCTTTTGGGTTGTAGTAGTTCTGGTTAGAGTGGAGAGAGACGCCGGGGTACATAGCTGTATACCGTATACAGACAGCTATCGAATAACTGATGTCCGTTTGATGGCCGGCAAGCAGTTACTTCACGACTATTTTTTGAGATGGAGTATTTTTTAGCGCGCGACGCAATAGCGCTGCTGCTGCTACGTCAAAGGGATCCGTCAAATAGTGTGCACCACTTCAATCAGCCGACACTCGGGCAATTTGGCACTTGTGCCAGAGATGAACCACGACGCTGGCAACGCCGGGGACGCCGCTCTTCAATCGAAGCGGGCGGCGCAAGAGAGCGGAGAGGACCGAGCAGCAAAGCACCTACGCTCCGATGCCTGGGCGAAGAACATCATGCACGGCCACGTGGTGGACGACGCTGCAACACGCGCCATGTTCGATAGTCCACAGCAACACCAGCCAAACAGCTTCCAGTCCATGATGTCGTCGCTTCCGCTCTCATTGCAGCACCCCGTGATGGCCACAGCACCAAATATTGAGGACACACAGATTCAGGATACTCAGCGGCAGATCCAGCAGCGACAGCAGCAGCAACAGTACGCTGCAGCGATGGCAGGTGCGGCCCTTTTCTAGATGCAAAGCACACTCTTTTTCAGACTTCTGACCCAGTGGCACTAATTTTTTGTTGGGATTGACCAATGTATTGAAGATCGATCTAGTGGTCTGCAACATCAAGTGGCTGTAGATTCGTCCATGATGACGGGCCAGCAAACATCTGCATGCCAGTTGACGACTACTCCAATGACATCGGTAGAACAGCCACAGGTCCACGTGCGTTCGGATACAAACATGCGCGTAGCTCCAGCACTTGGACACCAAGGAGTGGGATTCCACGCGAACCCGTCGAGTGGAGGTTCTACTCAGCAGCAGCAACAGACGTTGGCAGCAGCAGCTGTCCCTGTTGCCGATCAAGTGTCTGCAAGAATTGGAGTGCCTGCAACTCCCAGTGAAGCAGAAGCACTGTGTCTTATGTGCGGCAAGACAGGTGGCGTCTTTACTTGCAACGGTGGCTGCGGGCTTCGAGTGCACCCAACGTGCATTGGCGAGGATGCAATTTTTCCGTTCATTGGTGAGAAGTGCTCTTGACGTGAGTAGAAGGCGATTGGTCACTTTGGTCTAACACGATGCTGATTACTTGTGACTGATCTAGTCGGCCAGCTCTGCGGAAGCTGCTTTATTGTCCAACAGAATCGTGCATCTCCGGAAGATCTAACGAAGGGAGGACCAAACGCACTGTCGGTGAGATACCAAGACGCTGTGACTGTCATGCATATCAACGTGTCAGTACTGACTGTTCCTTGCGCCTTGTCGTGCTAGGTTCGAAGGGCGATCTTGTGCTTGAACTTGGAGACCAATAGTAGTGCGAACTTCGATAAATTTGGTCATTTAGCCTCATTGCGACTAGGAGAAATTGGTTTGGTGCGTCATACGTACTACCAGACGCTGGAGAGTGCATTGCTAACGTTGCGCGTTTCGTTTGTAGATTGCAGGCTATCCAATCAAGCCGTTCGCTGACAAGTTTGTCGAGCCTTATTTGCAAGTAAGGACTGCCCAGTAGTCCTCAAATGCTAAGAGAGTCCCCGCGTATAGCTCATAACACGAACTTCGTATGTGTCTGCAGCGCTGGATACGAGAAAAGCTCACGTCTACTGACAGATGGATGCTGAATGTGCGCGACGTGTTTACCGTGATGATTGGACTCTACAGGTAATGCTATTTTGCAATATTGCTTTATCTACCTTACGCTATAGCTTGCTGACGAGTTGTTGCTTATGTCTGTTACCCTGTTTAGCCTGAAACAAGCTTGTCTTGCTCATGGCTTCCACGACAGAGTAATCGAGCTGATGAAAGCACGCAACTTTACGGTAATGGATTACTTCGGTTGGCATCCAGCCATTGAAGGTCCCAATGCTCGGTGTTCGAGCTTGTGCGCTGTCTGCGGAGTGCGCAATGCGCCAAATGTTGACTTGTGTTCGCGCTGCCACCACAAACTTGTTTTTCCGACAACGTTTACCAAATACATAAGCACCCTCCTTGCTGCTTTTTACGCAGGTACGCAAAATGACGATTTTGTGCTGGCGTCATGATACCGTAGAGCCATCTGCTGTGTTCCTGTGCTCACAACTCTCATTCTGTAGAACAAGTGGGGATTCATCTTGGAGCATCGACACTGGACGTCTTTGCGCATACCAACATGGTGCGAGGACTGTACAAGGGACTTCTTCCATTTGATGCTGACGGTGTCGTGTGGGATCTGTTTACAGACCAGTTGAGTACTTGTTTCTCATGCGCGACTGCGGAACTGCGAACTGATTGCTATGCTTTTGTGTTTGTGAACTACGTTGTATGGTGTGCAATAGGTTGCGGATGATTTTTGGCTTTCTGGACATCATGAGCAATTTCAGCACATTGCAGCTGAACCCAGATCTGTTTGTGCCAGAGATTAGCATCATCTTCAATGCTGCTTACGTGAATCAAGCCATGATAGCCAACGAGTTTGAGGTGGTGGGAAAGTTCCTTCAGTGCATGAAATTGTTTGGCTTTGCCAAAAGCCTGGAGAACAAAAACATGATCGAGTCTTGTGAGCGCTATTTGCTGTTCAAACACCTTCCTGACGGAAGCTGGTGCAAGATGAATGGTTCGACGGTAGACCGTTACAAGGCTACCGTCACATGCTCAAAGTAGGTTGCACAGAAACGGTTATGAGTCGGGTCTTTGTCTCACAATGTGTAACTACTGCCAATCTGTGTGTCCCAGGGCTCTCCTCGCACCGGCTTTTCGCGGGTACGGCCCGATCTCGCACGATTTCCAGCAACTTCTGGAAAAGTGGGCTCGAAAGTCGTCACCCACACTTCCCTCTACTGCTACAGCTGGGAGAAACCAGCCAGAGAGTACTGCAAGGATAAAGCTGCTTGCATCTGGAGCGACCGTGAAGGCGAATAGTCATGTGCGACTCAAGCGTCTTGAGGCAATGTACAAGGTATACTGTAGACGATAGGAGTTGTTGTGTAGACTGACTTTTGACTCAAAGCTGATATTGGTGTTACGTTTGATCAACTAGCGGCAAATCGCTCCAAAGGGATGCCAAGCCTCGTTGGAGTCTCTCATGACGGAGAGAATGAAGCAACTTTTGAAGGCTAGGAAGGTACATAGTGCTTTTGAAGTGGCTGGACCAGGCGGTATCTGAGATGCAGACTTTTGTGTGAATTGGCGTGTAGAATCTCGAAGCGCAGTCAAAACCAGGAGCTAGCACAAAAGATAACAACTCCGGCAACGAGAAAACCAATCGGGTCAAGAAAGAGGAAGACGCCAGTGAGGAGGGAGAGTCCCGTCATGCTGGAAGTGAGGCACTGTTGAGCAAAGGCGATCAGCCGGTTGCTGCTGCTGCTGATGGCAACACGGATTCGGAGGACGTCAAGTCTGATCGTCCGTCAAACGATTACGATCTGAGTGGCACTGTAGTCTCCGCGGTGAAGAACCAGGATGAAGAGGATATGCTAACGAGCATGAGTTTGCACGAAGATCTGGAAATTTTCGACGGTTTGCAATTTGAAGACGGCGGTGGGATCATTGACATGAGCTTCCATCCCTTAGGGCCTCATGGAGCAACCGACACCAATAGAGGAGGACAAGCATTGGAAGAAACTGACGGCACAGACGCTCCTGGACAGGAGGAGGATGACGAGGATGAAACGTTGGATGACAATGTGTATGACGACGACGAAGACGAAGACGGCACTGCCCACGTGTTGGATAAGGACGGCTCCAGTCACCAATCAAGCATTGAGGTGGTAGATAAAAGCGATACCGCCGCGGATTTCCCTTCTGAAATGTGAGTATTCCAGACGCTGAGATCCCATAGATGTTCAAAAGCTCTAGCCGATCACAAAAGGCCGATGATTTGACCCAAATCCTTGTCGCCTGGTCTTCTATACGTAATCGAGGCTTGTGCTCGCTGCTGACTGTCAGCAACCTCGACCTCGCTCAACTCGAGGAACGAACGTAAACCTCTCCACGCAGCTTGAGACTACAAGAGCAAAAACGTGTTGCGTCAGTGTGTGATGAAGCAGACGAATCATGATGATGGTCCCTACTTGAACGTGATAATCGAGCTCCAGGTTTGCTAGCGAAAGCAATGCCGTCTTCAGATTTGCAGTTCGTCCGGTACCCATCCGCTTGGATTCCACTTTCAGACTGTTTGCAATGAATTGGACCTGCTCCTTGGCCTCGTTCATGCGATCCTCCGCCTGCGGCACACCCCAAGAGCTAAAGTTTTGCAACACGAATGACCACAAAAACAACTCGCGCATTTTACGTACCGAAGCCATTTTCTGCTCAGCTCGCATGGCTGACGCGGCTGCCCCACTACTCGCTCGAGCAGCCGCGAAGCGCTCTTTGTTGCGTTGCATGCTTGCGTTTGCTTGTTGAACCTCGTGGATAGCTGACTCACGGTTGTGCATCACAGTCTGCAGGCAATGGTACAAAATTCAGTGCGAAGAGGACTCCAATTTAGTGCAAGTGGGTACGACCCGCACCTTGACAGCGTCTACTTTGCCCGCCTGGTACCTCACGATCGACACATACATCGACAGCAACTTGTCTAGCTGAGAATAGCAAATTTCACATATCATCGGTGTTGGATCGCCACACGTGTTGCAAAGCCGTGCTTGTCCTTCGATCCACGTACCTGATCTTGGTAGATATTTGACACGGTCTCAAAGTGGTCGCCAGCGACCTAAACTCAACATCAAACTGCTGTCAAAAGGTTCTCCAGCGATATACACATATCCACGACGGCGACACAGAAGCGCACCTCAGCAAGCTGCTTCATATCCGGATCGTGCTTCTCATGCTCTGACAGAGCCGATAAATAGGTGCCAAATCGCGACAATTCATATCCTTCACTTCGTTGAGCAGCATAGACAATGTCCGAGCAGCGCGTGACCTCTCGAATCCGCTTGTCGTATTCATCGATGTGCTGACCGATCTGCAGCCACCAAAAGCAAGAAGCGCGTCAAGTGCAACTTGCGAAAGCATGTAAACGTTACAACGCAAAATGTAGTTGTGCGTGTACCTTTGCGTAGTCATCATCGGTCTTGATCTCGACTTGCTGCATATTTGCGGATAAGAACACACCATCTTTCAAAGAGCCCCACAAGGAGCTTACAGAAGCAGGAGTCGGGACATACGCGGCAGCAAGAGATGCCACTTTCAACAGCTCTTTGCCAGCTATAAGGCCCTGTTACAAGTATGCCCGCGGCTGCGTTAGTTTGCGTTCAGCATGAATGGAATCAAGATAACACGCACACACCTCAGTACTAGCAGTGAGGACGATCTGCAGCTCAAGTGTTTGCGAAAGCTTCTCATGACTGCAAACTTCGTTCTGACCACACGATCACGAATTGAGCACAGCATACATCGCCAGCAGCAAAACATAGTCACGTACGATAAAGTACTCCAACGCTTGGCGCCGCTCTTCAACAAACGTCGCATCCATGTTTCCAGTCCAGCGCTTCTCCGGAAGCGGCGGTATGATAGTACCTGACATTCCACTCGCATGCGTTACTTTCCATCACTAACACGACATGTGACTCATCTTGTACCTCGGAAGTGCATCAACAGCCGCTGGTGTAACCATTCGAAGTCACTAAACCGGCGCTTGACTTGCGCAGCGGAACAAGGAAAGTGTAAGCAGTTCGTCTGCGCCCCGTCAAGCAAAACAAAGTTCATTACAAGTCCATCTTACAAACAGATCAACAGAGTACCACCATCATTACCTTTGTCGAGATCACATACTGCGTATAGCGAGAGTATCCTGATCCAACGATCACGGGAGTGCTCACTGACACGGCAAATGACCGTTGGAAGTCCGGTATCGTCTCTTCCGGTACCTGGACACAAACGTATCAAAAATGCACTTCAGTTTCGTCTCCACGCGTCGGCGCAAATGGCCGCTACTCCCTTACCACGTTGTCGACTGGTTGCTCGAGCTGAAAGTTTGCAAGTGGCAGCGCCTCTCCAAAGTAGAGACACTGCATCTGGCATTTCCCAGTACTCTGCACTAGTGCTACTAGTTTCATAGCGACAAACCAGCAGTCCTTGTTCAGTCGTTCCTGCGACTTTCCACCGCTTGCCAGTCGCCAGATCTACCCATAGCCATCACAGACACCCACACCCACAGACCGACACCAACACAAAGCGTCACATCCCAAACACCAAAAACACCATTTACGTGACCCCACTTTCTTCCACACACCTCTCGATTCGCATCATTCACCAGCTTCGCTCGACGGATAAACGCCGCGCCTTCGATACCGCCAATGTAGCCATCTGTGTCCGCATCGACCTGCCGCAACAACCGCCACAATGTCAGCTATCAGCTCATACAAAAATTCAGCGAACACGACGCTTGCCCAAGAAATGCTCCAACAGTCAGACGACAGCAACAACAAAGACAGTCAGAGGCCCGTACGATATGGAAAAGTCTCGAGTACAACACGCCCTCTTCACTGCTGAACGTGATCTGTCCATTGACAAAAGAGATGCTGAAGTCACTGCCACTAGCGCTGCTGTCGCTTGTTGTTGCCGCGCCGCTTCCCGCGCGCATCTTCCTCAGCGTCGCTCGTCTTCTTTGCAGTCGGTCGTGGCGTTTCGTCGCTTGTGCGCATGGATGAAGTCTACTTATGTAGACCACACCATATCCACACCACGTCCACACACATCCACACCACATCCACACCACTGTCCCTCGAAGCGCTTGCTTCGTACTTACGCGGGAAGCTCCATCCTTGAAGGCAGCGCCGGGCGGTGTCTTCCTCTTCATGCAGCGCTCCTCGCAGGCCGATGTACCGCTCGACAGGTCACGCGTACCTGCCGACGCATGCACAGGCCCCAGTGGTGATGCAGCTACTGGTCGCTGTGTGCTCGTCAAGCGCGGTTCTCGACGGCATGCGCGCGTCTCGAGGGAGTGCGTTGGTGCCGGATCGGATGTTATCTTAGAGGCAGGAGCTGAGCTGGTACTCTGTGTAATCTTTTCTTTGCTTCAGGTCCATGAACCGCCTCGTGATGGAGTATCTAGTAGGAAAGGGATACCGAGAGGTTGCTGAAGCGTTCCGGCGTGACTCGGGTACCACACGTGCGTGAGTGTAGAGCAGTGACGAGGTGCCGTGCAAAGCGTTTGGCTAACGTGCCTCTGCTTACTCGATGGACATGGGACCACTCGTAGCGACCGTTGACTTGCAATTGGTGCAGGAACGCATGAGTGTGCAGCAATTTCTGCTCGAGGGTCGTGTTCAGAGCGCACGCGGCAAATTGGTGAACATGGAGCCCCACTTGCTGCAGAAGGAGAGCGCGATGGACTTCTTGTTGGCGAAACAAGAGCTGATTGAGCTGATCAAACGTCAGGAGATCGAAGAAGCGTTGCAGTTTGCAATCGAAAACCTCGCACCATTCGGTCGAGCGAGCGTGGGTGGTCACACGTGGTGATGCTGTAGATGGATGGAAAAGAATGGTTTCTTATGGTATGAGTGATGTACAGCCCCATTTTCTCCGTGAGATCGAACAGACAATGTCACTTGTTGCGTTCCAAAATCCGTCCGAGTCGCCACTGGGGTATTTGCTGGAGCAATCTCAACGCTGCCGTGTGGCGAGCGAAGTCAACTCGGCGATCTTGCGAAGCCAAGTGCAGGAACCCGGTACGTGGTGAAGTACGCATCGAAGTCAATGAACTGATTTGTTCTTGTACTTACGTCACTGCCTTTCTGTCGATCGGGTTCGTGTACAGAGCCCATGCTGTCCTTGATGGTCCAGCAATTCCATTACATGGAAGAACAGCTGGAAACTAAGCTCAGCCGTCGCTCGCATGGCATCCGAGTTGACGACTCGACACGCTAGACGACTTGCAACAGTGTCTTGTTTCACGGTCGCCTCAAGCGGCACTCTCGTACAGAGTCGTCGCGATGCGCCGGTCCCGTTGTGTACGAGTGCGTCATTGCATAGCGTTTATGCCCGCTGGTCAATCTTGCAAGTCAACTAATCTCAAGCTACTCTGCACCATCACTTTGTTTCTTCGTAAAGCTGTTCGATTGCCACCAACCGCCTCGTGAGAGGTCCAGCACGATAGGGGAATAAATCAGCAGCAGCAAGTCGATCGATGTCAAGTCGCAGTCGGATGAGCACGCTCATCACACCTTCCAGTCGCTGACAAGCCTGCAGCTTTTGCTTACTCGTCCTCCACTGTGTGTTGAGACGTCGCAAGTATTGCACGATGTACCTGAGCATTTGCGTTTCTGCAGCAGCAAGGAAAAAACAAATGAGTGGGGAGGGGCGTCAACATATGAACAAGGGGGGGTCCATACTCGTACCATCGGACACGAGGAGGTCAAGCAGCACTGAATGGTCCCATCCAAGCGTCTCTACTAGATCCGCAAACAGCAGGTCCGGGTCGAATTCTGCCGCTAGGTAAGTAGCAACTGACGGGTACGATTGAGCAAGGACGGGGTGACTTGCACACGTTGTCATCCGTGTAAGGTTCTGGAGAACTTCAACCATCGTGTCGTCTTGCTCAACCAGTACCGTCCAGACTTGCTTCCGACTCACTTGCTGTTCCGACAGGCAGTGCAACGCGTCCTTCGCAGCCGGTAGTCGCCACGTCTCCGCATCAGCACACCGTCTCCGCAGCGACTCTTCCATCCATGCAGCTCCCACTCGACTTACGCAAAGAAGCCATTGCTGCAGAAAGGGGTACCGTCCCGAGCTTGCAACGAATGCCGTTTGGCCGCTCACTGTTTGGCTTTCGTCTGCATGGAGCAGCTGCAGTGCCGTGGACGTGCAGGCCGACTGCACCGACCACGCTAGACACGTCTCAAGCCACTGCGCATACACAGCTTCGAGACCGCTCGCGTCCCGTTTGCCACCGTCATCTTCCTGTTCTAGGCCAAGCCACGAAGTCGCGAGCGCTTGAAAATCGCCGAGCAGCTTCAAGACTGCACAGGATACAAAAGTCGGTTGACTCGCGTAGTCCATTGCCATGCAAACGTCGTCGACGAGTGCTATCACGACTTTGCCCAGTGCGACTCGAAAGTGATCGGTGCTCTCCAAGTGGCAGACGCGTTTGACGATGTCGCTCATCAGCGCAAGCGCCTCGTACTGCACCGAGTCCGGAGCGGCTGTTGCTCGCGTGACCTCGAGACCTTCTCCGGAGCCGTCGACTGGCAAGAAGACACTGCGCACCATGGCCCCCACCTGTCGTATCGTGGCTGCAACTGCCTGTCGATACGGGAACGCCAGGCCACATTCTGACTGATTGTCTCGGTCGTCTTCTCCCAACAGCTCCACAGTTTGCACAGTCAGGAGCTGCCGCAGCAACTGGAAGCGGAACCCGCTGGCCTCTCGTCCCCACCCCGTCGCTGGTATCGTCGAAAGAGCGCTGTTTCGTGCCACCAGTGTGCCAACAACCACGTGGACGGTCAGTACGCGCCACTATCTAACGGAGTCGGGTGCTAACAACAAGTCTCACATGATGACACGAGTCACGCATTGCGTCTCGACGATGCCGCCGTCCACGAGGACCTTCCGCAGCTCTTCTTTGGCTGCATACGCCAACAGGACGTCGTCGTGATCGATGTGCTTGATGAACGTGTCTACTTCAGTCTGCGTGAGTTCATGACGGCACCGAACCGCAGCTGCAGTAGCCCTAATGCCGCGGAGTTCTACGCCCCACTCTGGCATTTGATGCAGCACTTGGTATCCACCAATCGATCACGCGGCGATCTTGAAGAGCCGCAGAAAAGTGCCGTGAAGGCCATTGCAGCTTGGAAGCAAAACCCAATGGAGACGTCGCTTTGGATCGGTAGCAGGTGATTGAGCAGCAGCGAAAGCTTTTGCAGATACACGAACAAGACGAGGAGGAGGAAGTCGATGAAGAAGAAGACGAAGATCCACTTGATGATCGGATACACATATGCATAGCACCTGCGAATGACGTCGTAGCCACTTCTGCGGTCGAGACTGTCGTTGCTGCAAGCCCACGAAGCTCCAGCTACTATAGCGGACACTGTGCGTTCCGACAATTGGATCCCTACATTATCAAGTTACGACTCGTCCGGTGTGGCGCTCACGTGAGCTCATCCGTCACTCCAGCGCATCGAACGTTTGCCATCGTTCGACCACTCCTCACTTTTGTCAGAAGGAATACTATGCACCAGACGTAACGGCGCTGTTGTAGCAGCTGATCGTGTCAAAAGCACTTGCGCACATCGCGAACTGCTACTTGTCGCCTGGAGCTTCTCGGGTCCCACCAGTTCCGATGGAAAGCAGCCCAATTCAGTCTCTCCCAAGCCACTCGGACTGTCCAGGAGCGACCCGACAGCGCGGACAATAAGCACACCCGCTGCCACGCAACGCACGAGCGGACAGGAACAAACGTCGACGTGGTCGCTTCTTCGTACCGAGAGGAACGATCACCAAGCGACACAACGTGACTCGACATGCAACAGCACTGCAACTTCAACTAGACCTCTCGTGCGAGTGCCACGTCACTATCGCTCTCCATTCCGTTTGTTGCTCGGGTTTTGGCTATTGCTAATGGCTCACATTGGACGGTCGTCCGAGGCGGTGGAGTGCTATTTGCGCAACTTTAGCGACGGAGAGATCAACCACCACGAGATCCTGGAGATCACGCTCTGCTACGGACTGCAGTGCCTGTCAAAGACCTTTCCAGTCCTCGTCCGCAGCATCACATGCAGCGAATTACGAACTATCACAGGTCAGTGCGTCCAATCGATGTAACGGGGTAGCCCGTTACATGAGATTGTCATTAAAACAATTTGACAATAAAGAATATTACGTCGAATATTCTTTTAACAATATCACAGACATGGTGATATTGTTGAGATGACTGAAGGGTCTACTCATTGGTTGATATCGTGATGATATCAACCCACCTATCGCTGCTAGACGCGCGCAATGGGTGGTGAGTATACGTCGTCATACATTTAGTTATATTGGTATAATTAAGTCAGGACAACAGAAGATTCAAGGAGTTATAGGACTTAATTATATTAATACAGTTTTACTTTTAACAGAGACTAGTCTGACTACTTAGTCTCCTTTCCTTCCTCTGTGTTCTTTCAACACCTAGCAGGGCACTGTCGACCACTGTCGTCAGTGGAAGTATACTCCGTACTGGTCAACCAGTACGTAGTCAACAGTGCCCCGTTTCACCTGGTAGCACTTAGTAGTCCGTTCAAGGACCAAAACCCCATCGCCCAACATGAACTTGCTGGACGATGTAGACGGCGACAGCTTTCACGGAACCCGTGAAAGCTACCCCCATTTGAGCGACATCGAATGGAGTGCGATCGAACGAATGAGCTCGACCGTTGGCGAGGAAGCCATATGGGCCATGCTATCCTCAAGGGATAGGGACCAGAAACATGTCGTCATTAGCAAGTTCTTGCAACGCGAACTTGATGAGTCGCGAGCGCAGGTGACCTGGTTACAACAACAAGATCATCAGCGGACCGAAGCACTGAGACAACAACAGTCTCAGTCCGCAGAGCCGACGTGTGAGCGTCGACGGGAGTCTCTAAAACTAGAGGTCTCCAAGTACTGGGGAGTCGAGGAAGACTCCCTGTGGAGGTGGTTCGTCGAGCTGGACGATGCCATCGATGCTCGTCGCATCGACGATGAGCGAATGCAAGCCTCATTCGCTCTGTCTAACCTGGCAGGAGAAGCCAGAGCTTGGGCCCTGAACCTCAAGTTGCACGACTTAAATGTGTTTGGGTCGTTGAGGATATTCAAGACCCTGCTCAGTGAGACGTTCGAGCCGCCCAGAGCAGAGTATAGGAATCTTTCGGAGCTCCTGCAACTCAAGCAGGATAAACGTAAGGTTCACGCTTACGCCCAACGTGTACGCTACCTTGCAAGCTGCATGGTAGTGAACCCTGTGAGTGAGTTTGTGTTGATCACAATCTTTAATCAAGGGCTTTCAGACGGTCCCGTTAGGGACCACCTGTTCCGCGGAGAGCTAAAGACGCTCTCAGAGGCAATCTTTGCAGCGGAGCAAGAATATTATAGTGGGAGACAGGCTCACGCTACGTTGACTCCGCATCGTCCTCAGAGACGATTAGCAGTCGGAGGTCCAGAACCAATGGATCTCTGTCAAGTTGAGGGCGAGAAACCTCGCCCTATGAACGACAAGCGAATTGTGAGATGCCATCGCTGTCACAAGTTGGGACATCATGCATACGACTGCAGTGTCCCCCGCTCAGCACGTCGCGGTGCTGAGCGCAGTATTCACCCACCAGAAAGAAGAACTGAAGGGCGAGGGTCCGTTGCTGTTGCGAAGTCGCAACAGCGAGGTGGACCATCAAAAAACGGTCGGGATTAGTTGGGGCGGAGCGCCCTACTGATCCAGCAACATAAAGAGAATTTACAAATCTCCTGAAGAAGGTTGCTCCCGACAAACAATTTCTGTGTGTCTCTGCACCTGGTGATGAGGTGCCTCTCATCACCTCGAAGTTAGAAGTGACAAAAGACTTGTCACTTCGCGCCCTAGTTGACTGTGGGGCGTCGAACAAGTTTGTTCGTCGCCAGTCGCTAGAGGCGGGAAGTTTTAACTTCGTGGAGGGGGGGATCCCTCCAACGAAGATGACGGTGCGCCTAGCGACAGGCGCATCGATCACTGTGAAGAAACGTGTAGTCGGAATTTACTACACATAAAAGGCGAGCAGTACGATGATGATTTCATCGTGCTTGACCTGGATGACAAGTTCGACGTCATCTTAGGGTTGCCTTGGCTCAGGAAATACGATTCAAGGGTGAGTTGGCAGTATCTATCGGTTACGATACCCTGCCACTTGTTCCTCAGATAACCACCTGACGAATATCTTGGAACGCCTACACTCACGTGGGTGTACTACAAGCGAGTGCGATGGCCTCACTTGTGGTACGGTCGTTAGCACGACTGTACAAGAACAGAATGTAGATGATCACTACATTGTGGAGAAAGCTCTCCCAGATCCTGTGGAAGTGATTTCCCAGGAGGTAATCGAACCAGTGAATGTCTTGGTTAATCTTGGATTAAGCGTAGGCGCTTACACGCTTGATATGGTTGATCTGGTTGAGCCTCCGAAACTAACTTCGGAGATAATTTAATTGCCGAGGCTAGAACCGAAAGAGTTCTTGCGTGATCTGTGTAGTGGCAAAGTCAAGCAGATCTGTGTACTCGTCCCGGAGGACGTGTACGTTACCGATATTCTATCGGCAACGGTGTTTACTGAGACCGAGAGGGTTATCAGCAGTTCATCGATGAACGAAAGCGTCATCGATGAGAAGACTCGGATTGAGAGATATGGATCTCAATCCTGGAAGTCGCTCCAGGCAAATCCTTTATATGGTGTTTTGATCGAATTTAAGGATGTATTCCCTGAATCCGTGCCATGCGAGTTGCCTAAGGACAAAAACACTCGACATGAGATCGAGATCAAGCCGGGCTCGAAGTACTGTGTCATGAAGCAGTGGACACTGCGTCGTGAACAAGTACTAGCGATCGACAAGTTCTATGCCGATCGCTTTGCAGTGAGCCATGTGAGAAAATTAACATCCCCTCACAGCTCTCCGACCTTCTGTATGCGAAAGGCCACAGGAGGATGGCGGATAGTGCACGCATTCAACAAATTGAATGCTGGAACGGTACCGGCTCAGACGCAGATATCGAGGAAGAACGTTATCATAGATGGTATGTCAAAGAATGCCATCTTTTCGTCCATGGATCTGATGGGCGGCTTATATCAGATCCTCATGCGTGAACGGTTTATTCCGTACACGGCAGTGAGCACCCTCAGCGGTATGTTGTGGGAGTGGCTAGTGATGCCACAGGGGCTAAGTAATGCCCCTGCGACTTTCAACAGATGTGTATTAAATCTGTTGAGACCTGCGCAGGATTTCGCCCCGAGTTACTTCGATGATGTCTTCGTCCATAGCCGGGCTTGTATGCCAACCTCAAGAAGTGTATATTTGCGGATATCGAAATACCACTTCTTGGGTGCATCTTCGGCAAATACGGCGTAAGTCCTGATCCCGAAATGATCAAGGCGATCACCTACTGGCCGGTGCCAGTCGATGTCAAGGGACTGCGAAAGTTCCTTGGGCTAGCGGCGTACTTACACAAGTACTCGCGCAATTACGCCGATATGACTGTTCATCTTTCTTGCTTGCTCAAGAAAGATGTGAAGTGGTCCTGGAACGCTGACTGTCTGCGTTCCTTCGAAAACATAAAGAAAGGTTTGATGCAATCGCCCATATTGGCGATTGCAGATCAGGACAGACCTTTTCATGTGGTCTGTGACGCCAGCAATTTAGCTATCAGCTGTGCGTTGATGCAGTATGACACAGACGGCGCAGAGCGCGTCGTCTGCTATCAATCGCGTCAGCTGCAACCAGCTGAACGCAATTACCTAGTGCATGACAAGGAACTACTTGCCATGAAGTACGCACTGGCTTAGTTTCGCGACTATCTCCTCGGAGATAGACCGTTCATCGTATATACGAACCATGCGTCACTACGCACGGCCGTAAACAGTTCACACCTCTCGCAACGAATGGCGAGGTGGCTGTCCTTCTTCACGGAGTACAACTTCTCCGTGGAATACAAACCAGTACGACTAAACGTCGTCGCTGATGCACTATCACGTCGGCCCGATTTCGAGCCGACAACACGCGCCAAC